ACTTACCTTAATGTGTTCTCCTTTCATATATACTACCATATTATTGTCTTATAACTCAATTTTATACGTTTTGTGAGGTTTTAATTTCTTTAGTTTTGAGATTTTTTAGAAGGGTTTGTTGTGAGATTTTTTAGAAGGGTTTTTAGGGAGGGAGAAGAAGGAGGTGAAGGAGGTGAGCGGTTTGTGAGTAAGGAGGGAAATGGTTTTTTTGAGTTTTTGATTATTTGGTATTTAAGAAAGAAAAATAGTAGTAATATTTTTTTGGTTTTAATTTCATTAAGGGTATTAAAGTAATTTACAATTATTTATTTATTTTTTATTTTTTTGGTATTCAAGTAAGCAAAAGTTGAGATTTGAAATAGTGATTCCCTTTTCAAAATGCTAATATCACGCGTGATTTTAACCTAGTGATTTAAATACACGCCTAATTAATTTTAACCTAGTAATTTGATAAGAGCTACAAATGAAAGCAATATAAACAAAGAAATAATGATCGAGGGACGATATATGGCATCAAAAAAAAAATATCATCTTATATTTATACTAATTTATAAACACTCAACAGATCACAAACAAAAAAGTCAAAACTAACCGCAAGGGAAGACGGTGTTAGATGGCAAAAACCCCAAGATTTGTTTTGGTAATTATAAGTAGCTGATGGTTTTTTCGGTAATTCCGCCTTAGTTGAGGGTGCTAATAGTTATTTCTTTTTTCCTTTTTAATAACAACGAAAAGAAAAGAAATTTATGGGAGTACACCTGATATCCTATTGGCAATTGCAAGAAAGCTATAGAAGCTCGGTTGTAGGAGATCCGGACCGAAGCCAACTTCATATCACGCCCCACCCACTGACTATAAATATACCCACAGAGTAACGAAATATAAGGGAGTGCGCGTCCGTTTAGAGAGAGAAAGTTAGGAGAGAGAGAGAGAGAGAGAGAGAGAGGACTTGGACTTGGACTTCCACAGGTACACACAAACCAGCGTATATTGTTTCGATACATCGTATCAATTCTAATCCGTGTAGAATTATTTTTCTTAATCATGAAGTTTGCAATTCAGTTGTATGTATGAGAAAATTGGATGTCTGTTTATGCGTTTGTTTGTCATAATTGAGCTCTACTAGCGATTGTTTGATTCTGAAATTTTGTTCCAACTTCTAGGGTTTTAGATTGTGAAATTTCTCGATAAATTTGTTCTCTCTGATGTTATGTTAGTTTAATTCCGAACTTCATTTGTTGTGAACGAAGTGGTTGAGTTGGGTTGACTTTATTTCTATTGGGGTTTTTTGTTTGTATAATTTGGGGGTTTTTCGTGGAAATAAGTGGGAAAGGATTTATGTTCATGGCCCAGATTTACCTACTGTGTGGCGAAGATTTCCCTCTTCTTTTTATTTAAATTTGCTTTTGATTTTAGGAAATTAGTACTTTTATGCATGCCCTTTTAATCATGCTCAGACTTCTTAGTGAGAGATTTTCGGCTATTCCTTTTCATGTTATGTTTGTATATTCAATTATGTTTTCACGCACGCTCGATCTATTTGATGGGTTGCTTTTGTCACGAATGAACTTGCATAAAACAATTATGTTGGATTTTCCAGCTTTATTGCTAAAATAATATCTGAGTACGAAATTAATTTGAAAGAAAAGAATGATAGACGTGTTTATATCTTTATCCATTTGAGATTTCTTCTGCACAGTTTCATTTAGTATAAATTCTGTCTATATCATGTTATACTCATGATAATCTATTACTTGCATTACATACTTGAATGAATGTTAAGCAGAAGCAATCCACGACATGATAGAGAATCTTTTCTCTTTGACATCATAGAAGAGAAAGATGATTGGTTTTTATATGAAATCTTCTTATTGAATATTTACTATTGCAGTCTCCTGTGGCTGATCTGATATTCTAAAGGGGTTTTCTTCCCCACTGATGCTTTCCATAGAATATTGTGATCAACATCCCTTATACAGAGCAAATGCCATCATTGAGTATGAAAACCAAGTCAACCACAGGCTGTTTGAAAGGAAAAAATGGTCTCGGTGTATGCGAAAAGTCAAGCATGATATCCAAGAGTCCTCTCTCTCTTGCCAGAGTTTCTCAAAATGCGGAAGAAATATATATCTCTACTCAGAGCAATCAGGATGGTAAGTTTGGGCCTGTCCTGAATTCCATATTTGACTGTTTGTTTTTCTCCCTTGAAGGTCTGAGGCTGTTGTTAATATGAAAATCTGATTTTCCCCTAAATGTGCATTCTCCACTGTTGTCCAAAAGCTCGATTTTGTTGATAGATTCAGTACCATAGTTTTTCCAAGCCTTTTATGTTATGAACTACTTGTAGGAATAATCTCATATCTGTCCTAATAGATGTACTTAAGGTTGAGTCCACAAAAGTCAAAACTAACTTTGTATGATGTCATCTAATCCAATTTAGTAGCATGGACGATCATTTACAATGGTGGATTTGAAATGGGAAAAAAAAGGGGGAAAAAAAGAGAAAAATAGATCCACTACTGGATATATAATCCTCCATCTGGAGGCACACTCTCATAAAATACATGGCAAATAGATTATATTTTTGGTACAACCCTTGAATGTGTGGTACTTAAGAAGGTAATTTTGCTTAGCAGAGAGACAGAGAGTTGCCATTTTTTTTCTTTATTGAGCCATATATCATGTCTCCTTAAATTTATTCTTTATTAAGCTGCTGCTTCTACTTCATGTTTATACGCATTAAGTTAGTATTATTTCCTTTTATTACTTCCAACTTAAATGTTCTAAAGAAATTCCATCATCTTGCCAGTTTCAGTTTACGATAAAGTATATGACGAGGCCAGCCATGATGAGTTGTCCAATGAAGAAAAACATTCCAAGAAGCAGCCATCTTCTGTAACTGATTCTGCTACTGACAGTATGGTAAGAACATGTCATTGTTATAACAACTTATAAGATGAAGACTTACTGTAGTCATTTCCCTCATGGTACTTTTGTTGGTTTTGTAATATAATGGTTATTTAGCACCATTCAGCTGAAAGCATGTATGAGCTAGGCATCTTCATTTTGCTTGTTTGGCACCATAAATTATTTTATTACCTTTCTCAACCAAAATGTCCCCACACACGAATCTGGAGAAACTAACAATAGTTCAATTGTGTGTGTGCTTACTAATGTTGTGTTAAATGATTCTAGGAACCTATATTATCCACCTGCACATCAAACATAGAGACAATTTTTTCCCCCATTCTGGAGTCCATTGATTTCTACGATGACGAAGGTACACTTCTTTAATTTTGTATTTAATTTGTGGAGTTATCATATTCAGTTACGTTATGTCCCTTAGTGTTGTATAGTTACTCGAGTCTATGAAGTTAACCTATAAAGGGAAATGGACTTATTTATTGATCTGATGTTTATGTGGAGTTTTAAGCACCTGAAGTTTCTATCTTGCGTTATTATTAACTCCTGCCTTTCCCTGTAGGAAGTGACAATCTTTATGTGCCGCAGTTGGATAGTGAAGACAGTGATGATAGCAGCAGAGGTTCATGTAAATATCAACCAGACACATCAGACTTCTACATCTCTGACATGATTTTTTCTGGACCACCCACTGAAAGCAATTCTGACAACAGAAAAGAAACTGCATTCCTATCTGATTATAAATGCGAAGAGGCTAGTTTACTTTGTGATTGGACTGAGGAATACATGATGTTGCCATTTTTGGAGGATACATTAGATACTGGACATGACCATGATGGTAAACCATCAGAAGAATCCATACAAAATCCTGACAATTCCAGCTTGTACATGGCAATCCATCAATTGAGATCTTACGACGAGGATACTAACTTACATACCTACCCCGAACAAGACTATGAATACTTTGATCCACAAATGTATATCAGAAATCTTCCAGACCAGTCGGACATGGCCTCATTTTTGTTGCCAACTTCGGTGCCAAATGATAAGCAAAATACCAAAAAAATCACCCTAGTGCTCGACTTAGATGGTAAGTTTCATCATCCTCCAGGTCTTTGTTGGGTGATATTTTTGTTGTATCATATACAATTATTTCACAGGTGTGTATTGTTCCAGAAATTAGATAACGTCCATTGTTGTCCTCAGTTTTGAGTGAATATATCATGGGATATCACGATTCACGACTATACCATTCATTGAGGAATTATAGATTTTTTACTGGATTCATGATCTTCTCATTACTCGTAATTGTTGTTTGATTTACTTTGAAAAGCATCAAATAAATCAGTTCTATGCATCTTGGTTTCCTTCTGCAGAAACACTTGTACACTCTACATTGGATCCCTGTGGTGATGCAGACTTCACATTTCCAGTGTTCTTTGACATGAAAGAACATACTGTGTATGTGAAAAAACGGCCTCACCTCCAGAAGTTTCTCAAAAGTGTGGCAGAAATGTTTGAAATTGTAGTGTTCACTGCTAGTCAAAGCATCTACGCCAAAGAACTCCTGGATATTCTGGATCCAGATGGAAAAGTTATATCAAGACGAGCTTATCGTGAATCATGCATCTTTTCAGAGGGATGTTACATAAAAGACCTAACAGTATTAGGTGTTGATCTTGCAAAAGTTGTCATAATTGATAATTCACCTCAGGTTTGGAATCTTTTATGACTTTGCTATCTTAGTTTCTTGTTGCAGAGATTGTTTGATCCTTATACTTTTAGGTTTGACCAACAGTAGTTGCATGTAAAGTAGTGCATGATAGTGGTTTAATTTCACTAGTGATATGTGGAACTTATTTATAGCAATGTAACACTCGACATGCTTACATAATATTACTCTCAATTCTCTCTCAAATTAGTCCCGAATATTCTGTTTCACCTTTCTAAATATTCCTGTGGGACTGGGAGGGTATCCTTGGACAAGTAGGTTAGTAGGTTGCTAGGTTGGCCTAGTTTCGATGATTTTAATCCCAACAAGTGAATTTCAGGATCACCAAGTCTTTGATATTTTTTTCCAAAAGTTGATGTTAAAGCATTTACTGGGAAATACCCCCCCTTCTAGATCACAGTTCAAGAATCATTTGAAAGGAGCTAAATAATTATTATTACATTCCCTGGATTAACTGATTCCTTGTTTTGAATTTTTTCTTTTGATGATTTCAGGTTTTCAGGTTGCAAATAAATAATGGAATTCCTATTAAGAGTTGGTTTGATGACCCGTCAGACTGTGCGCTAATTTCACTGCTACCATTTTTAGAGACATTGGTTAATGCTGATGATGTACGACCAATCATTGCTAGGAAGTTCGGTAACAAGGACTAAGAGATCCTTTGTCTATCATTAGTACTTCTTCGATTTCTCCCATGTCCCCGTCATATGTTTTTTTTTTTTTGGTTATTGCTTTCTTAAAATGAAGTCCTTTTTGTTTTTAGATGCTTGTTATCCTCCTCCCCTTTGAGCCTTTATATAACTATAACCATTTAAAGATTTCCTTGTTGAGTCAGCTTATCACCATTCCTTCCAGTATCCGACCCTTTTGAGAACCTTGTTAGTTGTTTAGGTAATATATAGCAGAGTCTTTAGGATTTATTTTTTTGGTTTGCTCTGTACAAATTTAGATGCTTGCGTCTTTACAAGTGTGTGTATATGAATTGATTTATGAAGTAAATTGTGATTCTAGTTTGGACTTATTTGTATCTGTATTAGCATACTCTAGTATTAGTTTGACTTGTATTACTTGCGGACGTCAACTACTAAACATCTGTGCTTATAGCTCAGTGATGAACAATAGTTGAAAAATGAAAATGAGTGCGGGTATTGGAAACTAATGTTGGTGCTACGCATTGACAAAACGCGGATTGAGCTTAATAAACTATTAGATTTTGATCAAGTGACAAGCTTAATTTTTTTTTTCTTTCTGTGTGACGTTATTTCCAAAGGCACATTGTCTGTCTAATAATTCGACGAGAAAGCTTTTGTTGTAGGAAATCCACAACTGTTCTGCTCCCAAAAGCCTTCTTGAAGGAATAAGGTAAACAAATTCTTATGACATGTAGTTTGCTCATCATTCACTTGAAGCAGCAGGTAACTTGGTGCAGTGTTGAACCCTAGAAATGATTTATATGATTATGTGTTATTACTTCACAAATTATAGTATGGAAGTAACGAGCGCGTAATTAGATGTGATGTTCGCTGGTATTATAAAAATGTTAGCACTCTTTTCAGGATCAAAACATTTGGTAGAGTTCTGCTTATTGCTAGTTAATACATAGATTATGCTGATATGTTTTTGCTAATGAATTGAATTTTTGTTGTTTATCTCGATCAACGTATTTCTTTCTTACTTTTGGGAGCATCTGCGACAAATTTCTAACAAGTGATGGTATAATTTTTTCTGTTCATTTTTAGTTTGTTTTAACTAGTACTGAATTCTTGCATCAGGTTCCTCGGCTTGGTTTATTTCTGTCATGTGATCTAGGTATGTATGTATGCAGTATTTGTTTCAAAGAGTAACATCTAGCAGATGAAAATGTATTATAGAATATTGGCAATTCTGTAAATTTAGCTCTGGTCATCTGATTGTTGTAATGTTGAACAATTTCTGCATTATGAATAGTTTCTATTGCCTTAGGCGATGCAAGGTAATGAAACTTCATGAAGTAGCATTTGTCGTAAAATCTGGTGACATGTGTTTCACACGTTGGATCACGATGACTAATTACTGTCGATTTTATCTGCGGGTATTTTTTTTATGGTTGCAACTTTTGAGTAGTGTTGAAGGAAAGAGCATGTGCATGAGTAAACATTAAAGTATTTTCTTGATTATTCCTAGAATAGTGACTAGAGTGCAATTCGGATCAAATGATTTGAATTTACTCCAAACAAATATAGATTTGTTATTGTCAATTTGAAATTCCTCTTTCAAACCTTCCATCGTAATGAACTGCAACTTCACTCTTACTATTTAATAATGAGGGTAAATTACGGATACCCCCGAGACGAAGAAATAGCTCAAAGGGTAATTGTAATTATCAATAGACACGGCAACGGGTCGGGTTGGACCCGACCCAGATTTGGACCCGCCCGCCCCGGAACTGACCCGGACCGGCTTTACATGGGTCGGTTTCGGGTCTTGATTTATTGAACCCGAGACCTGATGGGTCTACCTGAATAAAAAAATGTTTTTTTTTTTTTAATTTTGAAAATGCAACGGCTATAAGCTGGACATGACCCGGACCCGGTCCGTAAATTCAAAAATTTTCATTTTTTTATTTATTTTCAATGGCTAGAAACTCGTGTCCATCAGGAACCGACCCGGTTTGACTGATTGTCAAGATTCCAAAAAAAATATATATCCAAAAGACGGGTTTTGGACCCGGACCCGCCTCCACACGGGTCGGTTTCGGGTCCCCAAAAAGTAGGACCGGGCGGGTTCGATCCGGCCCGTAGCCGCGTCTAATTATCAATACAGCCCCACCCGCCCAACCCCTTATTTGTCATCTTCAGTCAGTGGCACAATAAGTTTCAATTATTAGTCCATCAGTCACAACATTTATAATTAAACTCTACACAGACGACAATGGCGTTGAAACTGACGTTGACCACACCAAACTAGGTACACTTGATTAAATAGCCAGCCAGTCACACTAATTAGAGAAAATTTACTTTGGTCCTTAATTAATCAAGAAATACACGACACGTGGCAGAACAGAACTCGGTCTTCCTGCAAAATCTGCCACATTCCTCCGAGTTACCTCCACCCCCATCTACCATTCTCGCTCGTTTATTTGCACACGAAAACACCAACAGACACACCCTGAATCTTTAGCCGGCCAAAAATCGCCTGCAGTTCAGTAATCAACCCGACAAGTTTTAAAAGCAGGAAAATGCTGACACTTTCTCTCTCTTGTTGTTCCTCTCTCTACAACAACAACCGAGTCCTCTCCACCAAGAGTCCCAACTCTCATCAAACCAGAGCCTTTTGCCCACCACAGCTTAAACAACTACGTACCAAGCACCAGTTCAGCTCCCTCAACTATAACCCACTTCGGTTAGTACATTCTTGAATCCGCGATTAATGGAAAGAGCAGACCGCAATTTGAATTTTTTTTTGTTTGTTTTGGTTGTGGGTTTTCTTGAATCTCGATATTAATCAATTTTGCTGTGATCATGCATGTATGTATCGAAGAGGGTTGGTAATGGACAAGAAAATCCGTGGTTTTGGTGCGGTTTGCTATTCTGCGCCGCTCACACCTCAGAATCTTCAGTGGGTCTCCACTGTATCTACTGCGTATGCCCTCACCTATGCTTATTTTTCGATTTGGTTTTTGCTTCATTAATGATTCTTGTTTGGATCCGAATCTATGTTAACCTAGTACTCGAATTTCGAAATCATCTATGTGCTTTAATAAGTTATTTACTGATTCTGTTTCTCAGAATCCTATTGTTGGCAAAGGGGACAGCTATCCAAAAGTCCTTTCTTGTTCCTCTATTTGCTCTACAAGCACCGCCAGCCATCGTCTCGTGGATGAAGTATGCTAGTCTTCCGTATTAGTACCTCTTATTTGTTTTCGTTTTCGTTTTGCATTAGCTGATTTTATCGATCTTCTACGTCTATGGTCTAATACGAATGAGTTTTCAGAGGCGAGTATGGCATTTGGACTGCTTTCTTGGCCCTTCTTGTGCGTCTCTTCTTCTATATTCCCGGTAGGTTTTCTTTCTCCAAAATAAGTATACACACACGCAATCAAATGAAGACTCACCGAACCTTTTTGCAGGGGAGTTGGAGTTGCCATTTATAGCTTTGCTGTTGGTGATTTTGTCTCCCTACCAAATTACGAGGCTGAGGTCGGTAAATTCATTACAAATAGTGTCCACCACGATGTTTATTTTTCTTTTAACTAATTTTGTGTCTCGATTTATTACTCGTGGCAGAGGAACGCAGGAAGGTGTGATTGTTTCGTTGGCAATAGCGGCTTATCTGGCTTTCCAGCATTTCACGAGACTTGGCAGCTTGGGAAAAGCTTTCGATCAAGGTTCAATCCTTGCCACCTTAGCCACCGTTTGTGTTGTTCTTATGCCGTGCTTGCTTCTGATCTAAATTTCGACTTGTACGAATGATCACGTTTAATCATTTCTCTCTCCTTATAATAAAGATACCTCGTTACTACTTTATTGGAGAAGAGTTTGTAGTTCTGTGAATAAATTTCGAATCTTTTATATACGAGCATTTGTAGATATCGCTTCTTTTCATGCGTTCTTGATAATATGCATATCGGAAAATCGGCAAATAGGTAAAACATATATAACTAGGAACGTAATTTATTAATCTTGTGGTCACTTGTCGTCCTGAGTATATTACACATCTGTTCACTAAAACTGTCCTAAAGCAGGTATATGTGTGGTATAAATATTTATTAAACTTAAAGAAACGTAGCTGTAATTATCTAGAACATTTGTGATACGACCTTCCCCCTACTTCCTTGCTTCCTACTCTTGTCTGAAAGCATCGAACCGAACCAATAACCATACGGTTAAGGCCTTGAGATTTGTATCTCTCTGCCTCAAAATTTTTGCATAGCTTGGAAGCTGCCAAGTATTAAATTTATCTCATTCTTGGGAGATAAATAACCAAATCCCGTCTCTGCTTGTTTAGAAACGGTTGCCTAAAGCAACTGAAAATACGAGACAATTCATTGTAATGAGCAGAATTAGGTTGAGTGACATCATTGTGCCAGCTGTATTAGGTGTGCTCGCTGGTTCCGAACCATAGTCATAGCCTCCTGCTGGTTCCGAACCGTAACCGCCGTTTCCTCCTGGTGGATAAGGATTCACCGGCGTACTTGTGCTGCAATGAAATATATCGTTAGTTTTTTGTCCCATGTTAATTAAGTTGATTATATTTTTCATTTTTTTTTCGTAGAGTGTAGTTGATAACTTTACCTTGGTGGCGAAATTGGAAGTGTTGGCGTTGAGTATGTAGGGGTCGTAATTGGTGTTGTTATTGGAGTGCTGTTGGGTGATGCAAATCGGCAGTTCCCATGGCCTGAACCAATCGACAAAATTCCCAACTTTTAGTTACAAAAAAGGAAGTTGCTAAAATTAGCAAAAAAACCCATAAAATGCGGTTTTTTTTAGCACACGACCCTCTAAATAGTGCGGTTTTAGGGGGTAGTTTGCTACTAAAATTGAATCATGGGGGGGGGGGGGGGGGGAAGGGGGATTTCCCCAATATGTATATAACACCAGGAGTTTTTTGACAGTTAAAGTAAACACCAGGGGTTAAATGCCAAAAACCCCGTTATAGTTTATTTCCCCCAAAAGGGATTCTTTTTTGGGTTGTCTACCCAAAAAAAAAAAAAAGGGTTAATATCTTACTTGGGGCAGCGTAAAAAATCTGAACGGTTCCCCCCAAAAACCAACTTGGGGGAACGGGGTTTTTCTGGGAATAGTCGTTGAAGCATAAGAGGCATGATCACGAATTGTACTAGGTTCAAAGCAAGCTCCATTTGGTTGGATTGCCGAACAATCTGCTCCGCCATAGCCACATGCGTAGTCCAGAGCTACCTGCAAAGCAGTCTCTGAAGCAGTAGGGTTGGAAGTGCACCACGAACCACCACCTGATGGTGTAGGAGTGGTTGTGGCTGGCGGTCCGATGATGGTGGTGGGCGGTCCGGTGATGGTAGTTGGTGGTCCGGTGATTGTGGTTGGCGGTCCGGTGATGGTGGTTGGTGGTCCGATGATGGTGGTTGGTGGTGGTGGGCTGGTAATTGGATTTACGATAGGAGTTGTACCTGGTATCGTTGGATTGATAATAGGAATGTTTCCTAGGGTGGTGTCTCGTTGGGTAGTTTCTTGGTGAGGTGAAAAGCGCATTCGGTTTTCTTGATAGTCTAATCTTCGGCTTTCTTGGATTGCTTCTTTGGGATTATGTGCAATGCCTCTATCTGAAAGGCAAAACAAAGGTTTGTAATTATTTACATGTATATCACATTTTTTTTTTAATCACGCGATCGTCTTATAATTTATTGATGTAGGAACGACACGACAGCAGGGTAAAAACCCTTGATCTAAAAAACAAAACGAAAAAGTTTGCGAATCTTGATAACTTAAACGACAAAAACAGCAAAATCACCTGAGATGACAAAAACGCAGAGGAGAAAGAACACGGCATTCTGAAGTATCCCAGCTCCCATCCTCGGTAAATGCTAAAAATCCTCGAATCGAGACAAACGAAACTCGGGTTTTTTTTATTCGAAACGGGAAATGGTGTCTGAATGAAGAAACAATCTTCATCGTGTGCGTTGAGTTTATATATATATAAAGTGTGAAGAATCATAGGTTTCTTGCATTGAAGAAGGAATAGAATGTAAGAGATCTCTGTGTCTGCTGTGGGGGAATATTAAGAAACTTGAGAAAGGAGGCATTGGTTTGTTTGGAGCTACAAGCAATAAGAAAAAGTTGCATGAAAAAGAAAACAAAGGGTAAGAAAAAGGGATCTGTTTGGGGATTTTATGTCTTATGTATAATGGCAAAAAAAGTAAATAAATATGAAATGTGTCTACTTCTCTTTTCACTGTTACATAGTACCAACTCAAAAAAAGAAAGAAGCTAATAAAGCCTTTGGGATTAGATGCTGTTTGTCTTGGCTGGGTAACTTAAGTTGTGGGTTTATGCTTAATTGTCCCTTCAAATTATTCAAGTTCATGTGACATTATCACTTTAATTAGCAGACAATATTCGTTGATTAACTGAAGATCGAATAAGATTTAAATATTTAATCGATTGCGGTTAAATTTTCTGTAATGCCGAAAAAAGTAGATGAAAATGACTTGTTCATGCAAGTTTTGCAGTAATGAAAATCTTTAAAAAAAAAAAAATCCAGAAATATTTCGGAATCGAAGAGCAATAAAGCCAGCAGATGATATTACGATAAATTCTCCGTTATACACAGAAATCATTAGGTTCTTTAGCTGTAAGAGAAAATGTTTATACTATGCAACTGTTGGCATGATATATATATATATATATATATATATATATATATATATATATATATATATATATATATATATATATATATATATATATATATATATATATATATATATATATATATATATATATATATATATATATATATATATATAAATATATATATATATATACATATATATATATATATATATACACACATATACATATATATATATAAACACACACTATCTATTCAAAATAACAAAAACTAAATATCTCTCTTACCTAAAATATTATAAATATCTCAATCCACTCCTTTCCCTTATATATACATATTATTTTATAATATATATCTCTCTCTCTACACCACCACACCACACCCTTTATTAAACACACACACTCACTCACTCCCCCTCTCTAATATTTTTATATCACACTCAAAAAAAATATATACACACTATCTCACACAACCCTATATCTTTTTTTCTCTCTCTCACACACACTT